TGGGCTGGATGAACAGACAGCGAGGTGCATTGAAAACTGGCCACGCGGCAGAGCTCAGAGGGCTGTGATCTGTGGCACAAAGTGCAGTTGGGGGTCTGTAGCTAGCATTGTCCCCCAGAGATCAATACTAGGTCCAGTATTGTTTAACTTCATCAGTGACCTGGACGAAGGGACAGAGCACCTCCTCAGCAAGTTTGTTGATGATACTAAACTGGGGGGATACACCAGAAGGCTGTACTGCAGAGGGACCTCAACAAGCTGGAGAGGCAGGCAGGGAGGAACCTCATGAAATTCAAAGGCAAGTGCAGGGCCTTGCACCTAGGGAGGAATAACCCGATGTCCCAGGACAAGTTGGGGGCTGACCTGCTGGAAAGTAACTCTATGGAGAAGGACCTGGGAGTTCTGGCGGACAATACGTTGACTGTGAGCCAGCAATGCATGCCCAAGAAGGCCAATGGTATCCTGGGGTGCATCAGGAAGAGTGTTGCCAGCAGGTTGATGGAGGGGATCCTCCCACTCTCCTCAGCCCTGGAGAGGCCTCGCCTGGAGTACTGTGTCTGGTTCTGGGCTCCCCAGTATGAGAAAGACATGGAGCTACTGGAGCGAGTCCAGTGGAGGGCTACAAAGGTGATTAAGGGACTGAAACATCTCTCACCTGAGGAAAGGCTGAGGGAGCTGGGACTGTTCAGCTTGGAGAAGGGAAGGCTTGGGGGGACCTGATCAATGTGTATAAGTATCTGAAGGGAGGGTGTCAAGAGGACGGGGGCCAGACTCTTCTTACTGGTGCCCAGTGACAGCACGAGAGGCAACAGGCACAAACTGAAACACAAAGTTCTGTCTGAACATAAGGGAAAACTTTTTGACTGTGAGGGTGATGGAGCACTGGAACAAGTTGCCCAGAGAGGTAGTGGAGTCTCCTTCCCTGGAGATATTCAAAACCCGCCTGGACGTGATCCTGGGACACATGTTCTAGGTGACCCTGCTGGAGCAGGGGGGTTGGACTAGATGATCTCCAGAGGTCCCTTCCAACCTCGACCATTCTGTGATTCTGTGAAATGACAATCAGTGTCTTTACAAAAGCATCAGGATAACTATCTCATTATTTCGTGTTTCATGCTATCTTTATTTGGACAAAAGCAGACATAAGAGGATGCTGCAGACAAACCACTGTCATGCTAATGAAAACCTGGGGCAAGCTACAAAGCAGGCAGGGATGAACAAAGCAAAAAGATCTTTAATAGATGTTTCTCACCTAAGATGCAACAAGATTAACTACCAGTAGCCATACAAAGGGATTTAAAATAACAGCAAAATCAACCATTTTATGAGTTAGATAACCAGAGAACAATTCCACTCTGCATTCTGATGTTCTTTCAAAGGTAGGCACCCTTTTTAGGGCATATATCTAGAAAAATATGAAGAGAGTGGTTGGAGATGACTGAAAAGGTCAGTATCCTTCAGCTTTGGTTCCAGCTACTTCAGGATATGCCCTGTATTTAGAATGTGAGGAGCAATGACTTCTGAACTAACAAAAGTTTCACAATTACCTGTCAAAATCATCATCTTCAAGCTCATCTGCATTTGCCCAATCTTCATCTTCTTCTAAGTCAACCATCATTGCTAACATTTGAGGAACTAAAAAAAAAAAAAAAAAAAATCAGGTTAGTTAGATTCTCAAACAGCATGCCTAAATGTCAAGTTCTTCTCCTTTTCAAAAAAAAAAAAAGAAAAAAAAAACTTCTTCCAATAGCAGATAGCTAAGTCTTTCTGATACTTACCTGTCAAATCACATCATACAATAATTCAGGATAGGTATTCAGAAGATTATTTTCTGAACATTCAAATCCCTTAAAAACAAACAACCTAATAACAAAAAATCGTGAGTGTTATTCCTATTAAGACTCATTGCAACCTGAGAGTCTTTTTTAAAGTAAGGATTTGAGAAATGAATTCCACTGATAAAGTCTGTAAGTTACCTGAAAATTAAAGAAGTAATATATGCTTTAACAACTCAGATTTACTTCATCTATTCCCCTGAGGCTCTGACATCATCCTTTGAACATTTACTGATGAGAGAGAACATATCCACTATGAAGGAATAATACTTGCCCCTCAGTTTTCCTAACATGATGAACTTTACTGCTGGCTGTACAGCGATCACTTGGCATAAAGTTTTACCTTTAAAAGGTAATAGCTTATAACTTGAGACACTTCCCCGCTCACTTCATATACTGTAATATTCTCATTAACTAAAATCAAAACAAACAAAAAACCCTCAAGCCACCTTGCACACAAACCATCATTCTTCTACATCTGCAGATTGACTCTGTCTGCTCTTCTCTATATAAATCTTTCTATAGGCTTTTTACCGTCTATCACAATATCCAAGTACCATGCAATAAGCAACATCTATTTTTCTGACTTGTTCCTAGTAAAAACGACTGCAGTGATTTAGTACTGGTGTCTACTTTAGGAACAGGCAGGTGCCCGTTCCTGTGTATTTCAGAAGCCAAAAGGTGAAAAGCATCCCTTGCACTTTCAGTGTGGAGTAGAGGTGTTGTGAAGCCGTCTTTACTTCATATTACACTTCATATTACACTAGCTGCTCAGAGCATTCTCTTGAGGTCAACATCATTCATGCAAAAAGTTCACTTTACCCTACAAAGAAAAGTTTTCGGTCCAATATTCAATCTTTGAACTTTAAGCATTGTTTAGGACACAGTCTACAGCATACCTTGAAAACAGGCATTATAATTAAGTGTTCAGAAACCTACCTCAAAAACCAGTATGCATGCAGTAGTCTGTGCTGCTGCTGAGATTTACTGCAACTGGTTAGAGAGTAGTGCAAGTGATCACTTGCACTACTATAATCTACAAAAAGGCACAGCCTTAAGCAAACTCAACATCACCATTCCTCTAGACAGGTGAGAAACTCCTTATCAATTGATGATGGAAGAAAATACTACTCACTGACAGCACTATGTGATAAGTATGAAGAAAAGAAAATCAAATTATGGATTGAATTGCTTGATATGGCTATGTATTTTCAGCCAGAGACTATACCGTGGCTGCAACAACCTCCAAGTGCTTTTATTTACATATCAAGATAACTTTATGGATACTATCAAGTGTTTAGTGTGATACCCAGATGTCTGAATACTATATAATTGTCACTGAAAATAATTAAAAAAAAAAAAAAGAGCCAGAAGCTCTTTTCAAAGACAGTAAACTTACAAACAGCCATGTGATACTAGTATATTATCACACATACAAGAGATAGCAAATCAACCATAGTCTGCCACAAACGCTACAAGATTCCAAAACCTCACGTCATAGCATTCATTACTGCCAACAAGTCAGGCTGGAAACACACTGTCATCCAAAGCTATTTGGCTACTGTTGCATCTAGAACCTGCAAGAGCTTCTAAACATGTGTTTCTTCTTTATGTTTAATACTAACACAGTTGTCAATAACTACAGTTTTTCAGAGAAGTTTTGTTTATAAACGAGTTGTGTGTTAAAGTTTTGACATTGTGAAGGCCTCCTGAAACAATTTCACTAGTAACAACATATAGATTTGTTTATAACCAAGTTAAGGACAAGGCCACTAACCTTTGCTTACTGTCTGAACATGTCATGACCAGCCATTTTCTGGAGAGAGAACAAAACAATAGCCAAAGCTGGGCTGCCATTCTGACTTCTAGGGACAGAACAATAAAAACCCTTGATATCTTAAATACTGAGCTCACGGCTACGGAAGTTTGAACCCAAATAGAATTTCTGGGGAGAGAACAGGTATACACAAGATACAGACTGGCTCCTAGATCAGCATCAGGTTTAGCAAAAACAACCTCAGATGACATTTTTGCTTAAGACCTGATTCTAACCATGAAAATTAAGCGATCTAACAGCTTTTAAAACAGAAAACCCTTCAAATATAAGCACAAAAACAAAACAAGCGCCATCCTTTTTGGCTACCTTTGTATTTTTATCCAAACATAACTGCTTTAAGAACTCTGCAAAATAAGCTTCTTTTACCTTAGTGTTTGTTTAATATCAAGAGTCATTTTAAGATGGGTTTCAAACTGAAGGCATCTCATTCTCACTCAGGGCCTTATCCTAATATGTTATCTCAATACAAATATTCCGTTCCCAAACAGCAACTAGCAGCCCAATATAAAAGTAATACAGTCTAAACAGACAGTAAGGTACTTCTCTACTATGCTGCCTGACCAGATAAGAAGCTTGTAATGAAGAATGTGAGGGACAGTTAACAAGTAATAGGTGTTAATATTCATGACAAACTGCAGGTGAATGTAAAGTATTGTAAACTTATTTAAAAGCAACATGTATTCTACACATACACAAAATGTCTCATCAATAGTTTAAACACATTCAAGTCAAAGAGCCAATTCTGACATTTTTAATAAAGAACAACTCAAAATAACACTGCCAGAAAGAAAGAAAAATCAGCCTAACTCCTTTCTCACTGTTATGTGAGAATGGCTTTGAATGGCTTAAACTTACAACAGTTTCCAGGAGTTTTAACAATTACTTTATCAGAGACCTGCCTATCTACAACTTTCTCCCACCCAAACATATAAGTAAAATTAATCAGCCTTTTGATTGATTTTTAACGTATATACAAAATGGTCAGTATGCTTTCAAACATTCAGCTAAGTTAAAGTTTTCAAAACTGCAGGAGCACAAAACAAGGTTGCCTTTGCGCACGTTTCAGAAAACAAGCAAATATATAAACAAACACAAACGTGGCCAGGGAGCAAGAGCGAAGCGAAGGGAATCCTTCCACAGGGCAGGCCACACTGCTGGGTCAGTGCCCTGATCTGCTCTTAAAAAAAGGGATTAAAAAAAGAGTGAGAGAGCGCGAGAGAAAAATAGATGTGTATGTGCCATTTAAAAAGCCCTGCTGCTGGGGCTGTCCAGAAGACAAAGCTATTTTTAGTATCTTAAAGGATATCGCATGATTAAAACAAAAGAAGGCTCTTCAAAGGATTTACAGACCACATTTTAAATAAGACTAACTAGTCTAAGTATTTATATAAGCGTCTGATTTTTTAAACTCACAGCTTTAACTCAACACTGAAGCTCAACATGCGTGCTGAATTCCTTCAGTCTTCAGAGTTGCCAGCACCACAGAATATCTGGCCTACATACCAAACTTTAAACGTAGGACTTCAGCACTAAATGCACCAACTTTTCTTTGCAGTCCAAATTTCCAAAGCCAGCAGAAAAGCATGAAACTAGTATTTTCCTTGGAAACACCTACTGAAGAGTCCACTGTAATTTTATGCAAATTGCTGGTGGCTACATAAGCACAGATTAATTTATGAAGAGTCATAATAAGAAAAGGCCTTCTCCATGAGAAAACCCAATTCAGGATGTTGCTAAAAGTTATCAGCGACAGCAGATTCAAAGTTAGACATGGTTTTGCTACTTAACACCTGCAAAATCAGTTTAACACTGTAAAGGAAAACAAAATATTTAAACAAAGAAAATGAGCACAATACTTACTGGCTTGTGCAACAATGTTTGTGTGTCTCCTTAGCATAGCAGCAGCAGTTTCTGACAGGGTCACAATTACTTCAAGTGCCAATTGACGCTGCATGTTACTGAGACTGGCATCTGCACACAACTAATCCAGAAGATTAGAGCAAAATGGTTAGAATAGAAGTTTCGGGGGGAGAAAAAAAAAAAAAAAGAAGAGAAAAGAAAAAAATGCTGTGATTTTTTTTTAAAGTTCATAGGTTTACCTTCAGACTTAGTTGCAATGTAGGTTCTAAATGTGGTCGTAAATACTTGGGAACAGAATCTGCAATTTCTACAAGGGACTTCAGGACAGAGTCATCATTTTGGTAGCAGGAATCATTTACAGCCTATAAAGAGATATGATGAAGATAAGATTAAATAAAAAAAGCAAATAATGCTATGAATGGAACTACAAAGAGATAATACATAGGGTCCAAAACATAATTAAGTTTTCTGGAAGTTTTATGCTCATACTGTTACATGCTTTAACTCTGGTCAGTATTAATTGAAACCTAACACAGTAGACCAGCACTCAGTAAAAATTAAGGTCACAAATTAGAGGCATTAACACGCAAAAAAAAAAAAAAAAAAAACAACACACTATGCTTTGACAATTATAGCTTCAAAAAAGCTGTACTTTATTTTCAGTAAAGAACAACTCAAAATAAATCTGCCAAAGAGAAAGAAAAAAATCAGCCTAACTCCTTTCTCACTGTTATGCGAGAACAGCTTTGAATGGCTTAAGCTTAAAAACACCAGGAACATTAAGTTTTAATCGTTCTCATTTCTTCCAGACAACTCTGGAGAACCACTGAATTAAAGCAGATTTCTCAGCTTTCAGTCACAGGACACAGGAGAGAAAAGAAATCAATATTTTTGTTAATATCTTTCCTAATCCATAGCCACATTCTGAGAAGTAATTTAAAACTTATTTTTAACTGACCGGATTGATACTCTAATACTAAAATATTACAAAGTTATTCAAGTGATATTAAAATTCTTCTAGAAGTAGGACAGGAAAACCCAAAACCAGAAAGGAACCCCCCCCCCCCCCAAACAGTCCTTAAAAAACACCTTTGGGGTTTCGAAAGGAAATGTTATTAGCAAAATATCTCACATTCTCCTAACGTAGAATCATTTTAAAAGTGAATTTAAAAGTGAACAAGTTGCTTTTAACACTTTATTCTGGAATCCAGCACTTTTGATAATGCCACTCAAATGGCCCACACTTTCACTTCTAGAACAGAAGCACCTTCTAATATCAGAACTGTTCTGACTCTCTCTTGTATTTTTGTTACTCTCTTCTTGCTTAATTGTTACCATTCTTGCTCTAACCCTGGCAAAGCATAATGTAATATTTACTGGAAGTTTCTTTAAAATTCCGTATTTTATACTGATTATAACTTTGACAGTGTATTAAAGCAAGACACTGCTATTTTTAGTCTACGTTTCTGAAGCAACAGATTCCGAATGAGCAGTGAGCCTCAAGAGGCAGTGGCAGTTTTAAGTTGTAGTGAACACAGACAGTAACAAAAGTCAGCTGAAGTGCTTTTACCTCCACTGCAAGTTAAATGTCTTGGATGCAAGTGTTCTACTAGGAATTCTGAAAGTAGAACTACTAGCATAACTGTTAAAGAAATTTGACTGAAAAGACTGAATTGCTACGCCAGAATTTTAACTTTAGCTTTTTTACCTCTCCAATACATCAACAAAATGAACTTCAACAGCAACAACAAAAAATATCCAACTGACTCCAAAGGTCACTCACTATTCTAACACATCCCATCTCCTATTTATAAACTCACATCTACATATCCATCTTGTGTTACCACATCCAGATAATCTAGTCCTTCCTGCAATAAATATTTTTGAGATAAATTTTATAGCATAATTCTGTACCCTACAGCTGCAAAATGAAGCTTGAAAATACCAATAATGCAGTGTTTATCATATGTTTTTACAGCCTAAAATAGTAGCTTTGAGACTTGTATCAGACATTCAGAGTGGGCTGTTAAGTCTGAAGCCTAAAAACAGCATACTATTTAATTGCTGAGTATCATAACAAATGGCATGCCCACCCCAAATCTTGCCTCGCTCCCACTCATACAGCATTCAGTAGCCAAGGTCCTCTCAACAAGTTACAGTTTTTTGAACAATGCCATTTTCATTGCCAAAGTCATAGACAAACACTAACCACCAAATAAAATACCAAAATACATATCCTGTACAGACGAGTACACATTTTCAAACCCAGTTCATTCTATTGAAAAATTCCCCTCAGTTTCTGTTAAGTAAGATCAAGCTGATTTCCATCAATTGCAGAAGCCAGTAAACTCGGCACAGGTTTTCTTCAGCTTGCCACAAAGCACACACAGACAAGGTTCAGAGCTTACACCATCAGCAAGAACCTGCTGA